ATTATATAGGACATTATACAGGACATTATACAGGACATTATACAGGACATTATATAGGACATTATACAGGACAGTATACACGACAGTATATAGGACATTATACAGGACAGTATATAGGACATTATACAGGACAGTTTACACGACATTATATAGGACGTTATATAGGAAATTATACAGGACATTATACAGTAGGGTGATTCTTTATGAACTCAGCCAGTTTTTGGAGTAGGGAATCTCTTAAAAAAAAAATTGCGAAATTGGAGGAGACCCTCATAAACAAGTCGAGGTCAAGAAATATAAATACAATTTCTAAGCATATGCAATTTGTAAAAAGTAATATTATAATTTAATTTTTTAGTAAGTAGTAAAAAAATGGCGTTAAAATTAGCTTGATGTGGAATTAACAAAAAAGTTACAACCAATTAAAGCATGCGAGGTCAGGCCGAAAATTGCCTCGAGACTATAACTCAGTAACCTGAGGTCACAGCAGTCTTAAATTTTAAGAAAATCCATTTCATTGACTGTCATGGGGTAGCTGACTTAATAAAGATAAAACCCAGTAAATTATACAGTACATTATACAGTGCATTTTACGGTACATTATACAGTAAATTATGCAGTACAATATACAGAACCTTATACAGTACATTTTACGGTACACTATACAGTACATTATGCAGCACATTATACAGTACATTAGACAGTACATTAGACAGTACATTAGACAGTACATTATACAGTACATTTGACAGTACATTTGACAGTACATTTGACAGTACATTAGACAGTACATTAGAAGTACATTAGACAGTACATTAGACAGTACATTAGACAGTACATTATACAGTACCTTATACATTACGTTATACAGTACATTATACTGTACATTAGACAGTACATTTGACAGTACATTATACAGTACATTAGACAGTACATTAGACAGTACATTAGACAGTACATTAGACAGTACATTAGACAGTACATTAGACAGTACATTAGACAGTACATTATATACAGAACCTTATACAGTACATTTTACGGTACACTATACAGTACATTATGCAGCACATTATACAGTACATTAGACAGTACATTAGACAGTACATTAGACAGTACATTAGACAGTACATTAGACAGTACATTAGACAGTACATCATACAGTACTTTTTACAGAAACTTCAATATTTTATATTCAGGGTGTATGGAAGCGTAATCTCCTTCTATGAAGATTATCCTGAATCGAAACTGACTGACGCGCAGAAAACGCAGTTAAAGCTGGCCGATTGGAAGAGCTCGTCTGAGCGCCGAGTTCTGGCTAAAAAGTGCATGTGTTTCCTGTCGCGATGGCCGTTTTTTGAGGCATTTGAGAAATTTCTTTTCTTCTTGTATAAACGAGTTCTGATGGGTCCTTACGAGATACCGTTGGAGAGATGGGATGGGGTGGGGATTGGATCGGATTGGATGAGAATGGGACGGGGTTTGATTGAATGGGATGAGATCCGGTAGTATGAGATGGGATAGGAAGGGATAGAGGATGAGATGGGATAGGATAGCCCCCCCCCCCCNTAGTCCTGAACAACCCCGTATTCACATTGTACATATCTAAATATTTAGTCCTGAACGACCCCGTATTCACATTGTACATATCTAAATATTTAGTCCTGAACGACCCCATACTCACATTGTACATATCTTAATATTTAGTCCTGAACAACCCCGTATTCACATTGTACATATCTAAATATTTAGTCCTGAACGACCCCGTATTCACATTTGTACATATCTAAATATTTAGTCCTGAACGACCCCGTACTCACATTGTGCATATCTAAATATTTAGTCCTGAACGACCCCGTATCCTGGTTCAATTATCCAAGACTGATAGGATTGCTTTATATCAGGCACAAGAGCTTCCTCTTCCCAGGTAATCAATCAATCAACCACTAATCACTCAATCAATGATCATTGATCAATAAGTTCATGATTGGTTAATTATTACGCTGATTAGTCGATCGGATAATTAAAAGTTTAAGTTTCTCAAATTCCCGTTTTTAATTGATTAATTGTATCACTTTATTTTTAATGTAGTTTGAACAAATCCGGGACTTCTCCGGGCCAAGTAAGAATCGATTAATAGATTTATCAGCTGTAAATTTGGTGCCGTTCAATATCCTTTATCCCTCTTATTTTTCTCAAATACTCTTATAAAAAGTTGAATTGTAAAGTCATTATTTATTTTATTTCTAATCCCATTGTTGGTTAATCGATTTAAACTTTTTGATTATTTATTTGATTTTATTTTTTTTGATTTGTTGTTTTTAGTTATTATATTGATGTTAAAATTGGATAGGAAAATTATATTGATTTTATTATTGGATAAGAAAACAACTTGGAGACAAGTGAGTTTATTTGAAATAAACTTTATGATAAAGCTCTTCGCGCATATATATAGTGTGTGTGTTGGCATTATTAAATTTGTTTTTATATTCATGAAAAATTTGCTTATTTGGAGGGAAATCGGCCATTTTGGGCAGAGATCAGTTATTATTGGGGAAATTGCTAATATTGGGAAAATCTGCTAACATGGTGAAAAAAAATGCGGAAATATTTTTTTTTGGGGGGGGGGAGAGAAGCTACTATTTTTGGGAAGATTCTGAAAAATATAAATATTTTAGATCCGGAGCTAAGTTCCGTGATTTAATCTCTACTCTCGGTCCTGATAACTCCGCCCTACTCCTTCTACTAGCACTCACAGAACAGAAGATCCTTATTCATTCTCTCAGGAATACATTCATTATTTAAAATGTATATAAAAAAGTTAAATATCTATCTATATATAAATATGGCCTGTCTGTCTGTCTGTTTGTTTGTATCCAATAAACGTCAAAACGGCTGATCCGATCGAGCCCAAATTTTTGTGGGACATCACGGACCACAGGGAAGGTTTATGAATGATAAAATTTTTTTTAAAAATGTGTTTTAAAGGTTTTTAATTTTGTAAAAAAGATTTAAATTCCTGAAAATCCGCGAATTTTTTTTTAAAATGTAAACAAAAAGAACATGTTCACAGTTTAAATAGAAGATGGGCGCGAAGCGCCCTAAAAGCCTAGTATAAATACATTTTATTTGTGTGGGTGTCTGTTCATTTGTTTATTTGTTTGTATCCAATAAACGTCAAAACGACTAAACCGATTGAGCCCTCACGTGACCCCAGGGAAGGTTTGTTAATGATCAAAACTTCAAAAATGTGTGTTCAAAAGTTTTTTATTTTTGTAAAATTTTGAAAAAGCGGCAAAAAATATTATGAAATCCTCAAACTATTTTGTTTTTGTTTTATAATGTACAAAGAGAAGATGCTCACAGCTAAAGCCACAGATAAAAGTTGAAATACATAAAAGCCTGTTTATATATAATTTCATTTGTGGTTTCTCTGCAAATGTGAAAAACTTAAGTTGTGCATTTTTTTCTTTAGAAACAATGGAAAAATTAACAGAATTTAACGCTTTTTAAGTTAGCAAACGGTGTTATCTTCCACATTATTGTTCAAATCAAGGATTTTAGGGTACTGCTGGGATCAGGAATTCCTCTTTTTAAATATAGGTTCATTTAAATTTACAACAGTCTTTCTTTGTGTCTAAAACAGTAATTAAAGTAAAAAATAGAATTAAATGATTTTAAAAAGTAGAATGTTTGCAAGTTCTGAGATGAAACTCATAATTTGAATAAAGTTTCAAGTTTACACACAGTCTATTTAGTTTATTAATTACTAGCTAGAGGGCCCGGCATTGCCCGTGGATAAAATTTTTTGGGAAAACATTTGAAAACAAAAATTTGGAAGAAAAAAATAGATTTTTTATCCTATAACACCCCCCGGCCACCCATGAGTGTCCACAAAAAAATTCAGCCCTATCGGTCCAGTCGTTTGGTCGGCTGTACGCAACATATATATACAAATGTTTTGTTTTATTATATAGATTAGATGAATGTATTGTCCAGATCTAATCTACTGACTGCTGTAGCTGAAGCTATGATGCAGGTGAAGGGTTATTTATATATATACAATTTATTCAACAACGAGGGGAGGAAGGCCAACCACAACAATATCTCATCCGAGCCACATTCTCATCATTTTCTCGCTCGAGCCACCTCAAAATCCTCGTCCTTACAATATTATTTTTGTTAAATGTCCAAACCTTGCAGATAAAAATATATTTTGATAATCTGGCGACTTAAGGGCAAAAAAAATACGAAGTTTGTCCAAGCAATTTTTTAATTGGTAAAACAGGGAGTAAGCTCTATAAACGATGTTGTACAAATAAGCATCTCTATCAGTGGGAAGGACGAGAATTTCAATGTGGCTCGGACGAGAAACTGGGAAGAATGTGGAATGTTTCATAAAAAATTCCAATTCTATTTTATTTTTAGATAATATTTCCGTTTACCTGGCAGTGCCCCTACATACCCCTGTGTCCGGTTGGGAAATCTGATTTTATCTCAGCTCCCTTTCCATTCGTCATAGGTTTAGATACCAGGTACTAGGATAGGTTTAGATACCAGGTACTAGGATAGGTTTAGATACCAGGTACTAGGATATGTTTAGATACCAGGTAGAAGGATAGGTTTAGATACCAGGTAGTAGGATAGGTTTAGATACCAGGTAGTAGGATAGGTTGAGTTACCAGGTGACTAGGAAAGGTTTAGATACCAGGTACTAGGATAGGTTTAGATACTAGATACTAGGATAGGTTTAGATACCAGGTACTAGGATAGGTTTAGATACCAGGTACTAGGATAGGTTTAGATACCAGGTACTAGGTTACTATACATTTTTTAAAAGATTTCCCCTTTTAGATTCTTTGATCTGTATGAGCTTCCGTCCGACGTGAACGCTGTGGACTTGGACACTAACACGATCAGCCTCAGCGACACCGCGAAGAAGCTCGAGCTCGGGCTGAATATTCTGCCCAGGAAACCTGCCAGGATACTGAGGAACACTCTAGTTATACTTGAGGATAAGTGCCACCAGTACAGTAGGTAATATTTATTTATTATGGTAAAGCATAAACCACGTACCTTCTCAACTAAAGGATAAAAGTCATGTTTGGCCTGGTTAGCAATCATGTTTCATTGATGTATGATGTTTATGAAGAATCATATTGGATTTGTAGATAGTTAGTATATATAATTTAATTTTTGAGTTAGGGTTTTAGATAAGAACTTACTTCACATCTCATCGAGTTGTTTGTCTCATATTGGATTTGTAGATAGTTAGAATAAATAATTTAATTTTTGAGTTAGGGTTTTAGATAAGACTTTACCTCACATCTCATAGAGTTCTTTGTCTAATTCACAACTGTAACCTTCAATTCTTTGTCTCAGTAAAGGAGATATATTTCTTCCTCATAATTACTGTTAAAAGTGCCACTCTCTGAATGGAGAGTCACTGAAAAGTACGCATTTATTCCCTTTAATTAGATAGTTTTCAGGATCATTTTAAGAATCCCTTTTTGGGTGTAATACATTTGTTTGGCAATTAGCTCACAAATTGAATGGGACCGGTGACATGGCTCAAATTTGGTCGTGTGTCCGACGTTAGGTTTAAACTATGTCAGGCTGAAAAGCCGTAACCTAGAAGGAATTGTCAAGGAGCTTTTGGACACCTCCCTAGTTTCATGAATTGAATAGAGTAATGGGGTTAAATAATTTTAACTGACAAAAATGTGAACAACAAGAATGAAAAATAGATTAATAGGATTAATTGATCTCAAATGGAACCCGACATTCAGTGGTAAGGAACCACAAAAACATGCTGGTCTATGGATCTGGATCAAAGGAGGAAAATATCAACCAAAAACTTTAAAAACGGAGTTTTTGTTCTGAAGACCCAAATTGCAAAATTTCCCAATCTCTGAAAAGTTCATCAATAAGAAAAATTGTTTTAAATTTTCTAGTTTGTTAAAAAAAATCATTAAATCTTCAAAAAATATTCATGACCTGGATCCGTATTCGGTTTTATTCAAGGCGGATCCAGGATCAGGATCCGCATCAAAATTAAATGGATTCTAAGCACTGCGGCGACCCACGACATGAACTCTAGATGAACAGTTATATATTTAGATTAGCCCAAGAGCTGGAGATGACGAGTGACGACGGAGAACTTGATTTTGAATTTAAGCTCCGGGAGAAGGAACTGGATTTAGAATTAGGGACACTCATGCTTGCACTTTTTTTTGAATCAGATATCGGAACTTTTAACTCGATATCTTCAGCAGAAACTATTCATTTATACGATTAAGTGCTTATTCAGTTAAAGTAGCTGAATCTATTAGCATTTTAAGTGCTAATAGAAAGGAATTAGCTTAAATCGTCTGACCACACTGATTTGTGCTCTTTGAATGGATTATTATTTAAAGGTTCCGACTTCACTTTAAATAACCTGAGGCCGATTTTAAAGAATTTGAACCGCGTCGCTGAACCGACAAAAACCGGTTTCAATAGAGCGCCCGCTCAAATCTCGAAACACTAAACACAATTTTAAGTGGAACGAACCATGTTTGAGCCGCGTCTCAAATTCTTTAAATTCGGCCTCAGGTTATCTATTTTAACTAAAGAAGTATATTTTAGTGTGCCCGAAAAAAATGTTTTTTTTTTACTTCCCTGTTTTGCATTGAGATCCTGTTTTACAGATTCAGCTCAATTTTTTAAGACATAATACAAAATAATTTGCCTTTTTAAATTTTATTTTTTACACTTTCAAACAGTTTTCAATTATTTAAACAAAGTTTGTGTTTTCTTTTGTAGAAATTCAAGAAGCTTTTCTTCACTTCATGGCTGGTAAGTTCATACGCTACGATACAAACAATGTTTTTATTTTATTTTATAGTTTTTTACTCATCTCTTTTCTTGCTGTTTTTTTCACTTAAGTTCCAATAATTTAACAAAAGATATATATATATATCTTTTGTTAAATTAATTGTGAACATGTTCTCTTTGTGTACATCGTAAAACAAAACAAAAATAATTCGCGGATTTTCACAAAAAATTTCGCGGATTTTCAAAATTTTTAAAAATTTAATGACGATCGAATTTTGATGGAGACAAATATTTGAAATTTTTATTTTTCATAAACCTTCCCTGGGGTCCCTAGATGTCCCACAAAAAATTTGGGCCCGATCGGTTCAGCCGTTTTGACGTTTATTGGATACACACAAACAAACAAACAAACAGACAGACAGACAAACAGACAAGCCAAATTTATATATAGATATATATATAATCAAGGTTGACACGAAAGGACAATTTAAACTATGCACAATGTTAAGATCCTACAATGAAAATTTTAAAAGCTAGTCACACAGCAAATTTTACATTAAGGTTTTTTCTTTAAAAATAAAATTGTAAAAACTAGTAAATGTACTGTTTTCCCACTTTCTAACTGTGTTCTTTGTCCAGGTGTATTGGGAGGCTACAGACAGCATCTGTTACCAATTACCAGAGCTCCGACAGCGGGGGTAACAGATGTTAGGAATTTGTTTGATAGAGACAATTTTATCAAATCAAGAGATAAACAATTCCATCCTTTCTACGAGTAAGTTCCAGGGTTTTATAACAACAAATTAAGCGAAAAAATAAGAAACTTGTATGTATTTACTATAATTAAACTTTAACTAAAACTATTCAGTATTATTAATCAATATTTTCTATTTATGTTTCCTTTGTTTCAGTCATCTGATGAACACGCAGCTCTTTACAAAGGAAACAAAATTATTTTATCAACAAATATTGTTGTTGCGGGGTTTCCATTTTAATTTCTTATCAGATTTCATATTATTTCTTATCGGTCTGTGGGATTGTAGTTCTTAGAGGTTGCACACAAGTATACCCATTACCCAGTACCCAAAACCCCCTGAAGGATATTGATCTAATCGCGATATCTGTCAAACCTTTATAACCACCATTTTTGGGGTTTTTATTTATTCTTGAACCAACCTCTTTCTTAACTTTTTATGTTAATGAAATCATAAAACTTCTATATTCTGAAAAATTGTTCATACAGTGTTACCCACAAAGGATGAGACTGTAAAGACGACTTAAAACTCTTCCAATATGATGATTGATAATCTTAAGTTTAGATTATGTCTTTTGCCTTGAATATGGTCTTTAAATGGTTTTAGAAATGAGTAAAGAAAGAAAGACGTTTATAGTTGCAGAGAATCATGAATATGAGGATACAGACAATATAAATTCCGTAGAGTCATCTCTAGAATAGTTTTTTAACTATCAGAGGTTCGAACTTTTGGAATAAGATTGCCAACTGTTTTAGCGACTGAAATCATTAATCAATCTTCAGTGCACAAACTTTTAAATTTGGGTTGAACGCCTCAAAAAGAGCCAAAAGGTTGAAGTCACAGTGTTCAGATTTAAAAGTTATGGTCTCGAATTGATTTTTGCATCACAAACTGGTGGGAAAAATTTAAGTTGTTTTCCCTGATATCAATTTATGAAATATTTTGTTTTCTCCAGTTTATTGAAGAATGCAGTTTTGTATCTGACGTCAATCAGAGCTTGGCTTTCTTTGATGAGTGTGTTGACAGGTAGGAAATCATTTAAATCCATCCTCTTTTAGTTATTTTGGACCCCTCTCCCCCTCTTATTTTTTATAAAGGTCAGAACTTGGGAATATATTATCATTTCAATCGGTGAATTGTGTGGGGGGGGGGGATATTGTTAAAAGAACCAGAAAGGTATTTATATTAAAGATTTGCCTTATTGAAGCACAGAATATCATTCTTTCACAAGAATGGGGGAATTATGAATGGGGGTCCACTACACATATTACCCGAACCGGTTATCCTACATTTTGTAACGTCCCTAACGGTTTTGTTAGATTGAGTCGAGGTGAGGATGGTCGTCTCCTAGACTGGGAGGGAGTACAGAGTGATACAACAATATATATTCTACCCCCAGACTCTACAGATCTTCCACCAGGTATACATACAATCAACTCTCTATCAAAATATCAAAATCAGGTAAATCGTTTAAAGAAAACAATAGGCCGCATGGTGCTGCACACTGATTACAGTCTGTAGTCCTAGAGGTTACATACTTGTCCCTCTAGATAGATAGATATTTGGTTTCATATCAGATTTTTTCCGACTGCTGCTGGTAATAGGAGCAATTCTCCCTCCTCCCAAGTACCCACAACCCCATGAAGGATATTAATTTAATCGCGACATGAAAGTCTCTGAATTTTACGATGGGACGGTTAAATTTGGGGTTTAGTCTCAAAAAAGTCTTCAATGCAATGGATAAACGGAATAATTTGACAGAAAAGAAACAAGGTTACAGTTGTAGGAAATCATGGTTTGAAGGAAAGAGACTGAACAAATTGTGTTCAGTCGTATAGTTGTCTCATCTATTCTGGTTAAACCTGAATAGAAACTATTATTTAGGAGTTGAGTACAAGTATTCTACCCTGGACAAACTTGATCACAGTTTGTTCCTTTCTCCTTCTCCGGAACCCGATCACGTCGGAGGATCAGGTTCAGCACCCGGAGCCGGAGGAGATGATACATTTTCTAGTAATCCGAACCCGTTCCAAACTCCGTCCAGCGTTGCTAAACGTACTAAACAGGTTTGATTATTTTATTGTATCTTCATTCCAAGGGTGGTCACCTTCTCCCACCTTTTTATCCTCTTCTTTTTCATTTGCCCCCCTCGTTTTTCCAGCTGTAGTCTTTCTTTCCGACCTTTCTTTTTTATCTACCCGTTTACTCCATATAACCCCATTTTCTGTCATTTCTTTAAAAGTTGTAGGGGGTTTTCTAGATTTCTATGAATTAGTAAAATAGGGTAAACTTTGTAGAAATCGTATGAAAAGGAGGAGACAATTTGTCAGTTGTTTATTTTTTCAATGTTCTCCTAATCTTAAAAAATTAATTCTTGAAAAATTGAAGGTTCTCAATTTCTATGCCTATTAAAGAATGATCAAATCCTTATTGGTATTCTTGCAATCAGTGCTTAGGTATCCATTCTTCACTGAAAAAAAATGGATCTAGATCCAGGTCATGAACATTTCTTTGAGATATTTATTTATGCTAAAACTTGATGAACCTTACAGCAATATGGAAATTTTTGATAATATCTTTTTTTCAACATTTCAGACTTTTGAGGGTTTTGAGAACAGAAGATTTTTTTTGCAGTTTGCTGTTGATATTTTGACCCTTGGATCCGGATCCGTAGATCCGGATCCAGGAAGCAAAATTTTGCGGATCCAACAGATCCGGATCCTAAGTACTGCTCGCAATGAAAGGGTTTTAATATTTCAGGAAATCCGATCTGCAGTACGTGTAGCCCAGAAGCATGCCGAGGTACCCCTGCTGTGGTCCAAGTGTATGCTTGCTACCTCCTACTCTCTATGGTACCTAACCCTGCCTGCCATGGTTCTAAAGGAAAGATCATTTAACGCATTTCTTCAAAAAAACTATGTTGAAAGTTTTATAAAATTATACAGGGGTGAATATTTTTTCGAAAAACATTCCCCTCCCCTTTGAAAATAATTTTTGCCTCCAGAAGTATGTTGTTTAGTAGGAGCACCAAAATTAATTTTGGTATTTTATCTGCTGAATTGGGGGAAATTAAGGATTTGTAGGGTAAAACAAATTATTTGTTGAAGAATAAGTATTAAAAAGAATGAGAAAAACTTTCATTTTCATGTTCAATTTTTTTTTCAGATCGTCAAAAATCATTTTTTACCCTGGTGGGGGTGTAATTAAAAAAAAATATACACGACTGCTTGAAAAGTATTGGATTGTCTCCAAGCTTTAACCCTAAAATACGAACATAATACTCGAAAAACATAGTATTTTTTGCATACAATGTTTTATATATATAAAGATGGTTAGCATGAATATCTGTATATACAGGCTGAAGGATCTATCTCTACTCTACGGAGCGGATACAGTATCATTCAGAGGATGCAGAGGCTCCGTCTTCACCCTGTAGATGAGATCTGTTACAGGGTGATGATGCAACTCTGTGGTATATACAGTCAACCCGTCCTAGCAGTCAAACTTCTTTTCGAGATGAAAAGGTAACAAGAGATTTTGAGAGGTGCACATTTTTTAACCCCCCTTTTTAATTGGAAAAAAATTAGGAACCAAGGAACGTTCACGCACAGCATAATAGACTTTTTTCTTGCTAAAATAGGGGAAACTATTTGATTTGATTGATTGATTGATTGGTTGATTGATTGCTCCATCTAGATGTGGCGTGCATCCTAACGCAGTAACCTATGGTTACTACAACAAGGCTGTGCTGGAGAGTGAGTGGCCCCAGGGAATCGCAAATAGTTCACAACTTCATTGGAACAAACTCAGGTCAACATATTTCGGAGGCACTTGGGGGAGGAGGGTATCGGAGGGAGAGTAGTTTGAGAAACACCTGGGTGAACGGGAATTCGGAGGGAACGGGTGGGACCTGGTCAAAGGGAGGGGGGGGGGGGGTATCCTCAGAAGATTTAAATCTACAAATATTTTATAGCTCAAGTTTCTCGTTTTCTGTTATCATATTTCTGCGGAAAGAACTTAATTACTCAAGGTGCATTCTCTATTTCTACGCCAAATGTTTATGAACGCATATCGATTTTAGATATGTCTAAAAAGAAAATCGTTTATTTCAACCTATTTTCGTAAGATTATTTCTATTTTGTTAGCTTTTTATTCCATCTCATAGAGTTTATAATTTCAGAAATGTTTTGACCGCAGTTTGGTTGTTTAAACAGGTGATTTTTATCAAAAAGTAAATAGAAAAGTTGGTTTAGAAAAGACCTCAACGTTTTAATATTTCTGGTTTTGGAAAGTATTGTGTTACATGGAAAAAATGATAAAAATTTAAAAGCTGTAAAGTGGCGCCAAACGCCTGTTTTTTGTTCAAATCTCTGGCGGTTAATAAAGTGGATTTATGTTTTTATACAGAGCGTCCCATATCATATTAGATTATCTCCAATCTTTAACGTAAAAATTCGCACATAATACTCGAAAAATCTAGCATTTTCTGCAAAAAAAAATTTCTTTTAGCCTTATTAAATTTTTCAAATTGATTGATTCTTCCTAAATTTTCTGATTTGTCCCTCAAATTGTAATTTAGACCCATTGACACGGTCTAATTTGATGTGGGACACCCTGTATATTTCCCCTGTGATGTTTTCTTGATGTACTTTTTTACTTAAGTCTGGGAAGTCGTTTCGTAAACTGGAGGAATCTGTATCACAGCTAAGTCTAGACAGCCAGGATACAGCTCCTACAGCGGATAATGTTGATACTGGAGAGAAGGAGAAGAAGGAGGGGGCGGGGAATATTGATCCCGCCTCTTCTCAAGAGCTGGACAACAACGGTCAACTGAACACAATAGCCAGGAATACAAACATTATAATAATAATAACAAACATTGCGGTATTGAATGCTGTTCATATCTCTGATAGCTGTTCTAACTTCTAAAGGTGTAAGTGGCACCTTCACAAATGTGCAATTTCCCGGATGCAATAGGGGCTGATCGCTGCAGCTAAGATGGGATAGGTAACCGAGCGCAGCGATTAGAACAGACTAGGGGCCGAGCGCTTCGACTAGAACAGGCGAGGGACCGAGCGCTGCGGCTTGGACCGACTTGGAAAGTTGCCACTTTTATTCTTAACTCTGATTCCTGTTCGTAATACTGCTTTTATCTATGTTTCCTGGTCTGAATATTGATCTTAACTCTGGTTGCTGTTCATAATATTGTTCTAATCTATGATTGACATTCTGAATATTGTTCTTAACTCTGATTCCTGTTCTTAATACTGTCTTTTTCTATGAATCCTGTTCCAAATTCTGTGCCTAACTCTGATTGCTGTTAAAAATACTGTCTATATCTATGATTGCTGTTCTAAATACGGTCTTATCACTGATAGTTGTTCTGTATACTGTTCTTAACTTGCTGTTCTAGATACTGTCTTTATCCATGATTGCTGTTCTGAATATTGTTCTAATCAATGATAGGTGTTCTGAATACTGTCTCTATATATCTATGACTGCTGTTCTAATACTGTCTTTATATATATATCACTATTGTTCTAATACTGTCTTATCACTGATAGCTGTTCTGGATACTGTCTTTATATATCTATGATTGCTGTTCTAATACTGTTCTTATCACTGATAACTGTTCTGAATACTGTCTTATAACTGATAGCTGTTCTGAATACTGTTCTTATCACTGGTAGCTGTTCTGAATACTGTTTTTATATATCTAAGATTGTTGTTCTAATACTGTCTTATCACTGACAGCAGTTCTGAATACTGTTCTTATCACTGGCAGCTGTTCTAAATACTGTCTTTATATATCTATGATTTTTGTTCTGGATTCTGATTTGACAAGTTTATAATGTTCTGAATTATTAGTGAGGACAAGCTGACTAGAACTATGACAAGATCCCGGAGTTTGAGTATAGTTAAACCTCCCCAACCTAAGGTATAAAAAAAAGAACTTTGTCGAAACAATAAATTATTATTTATGTCCAATTCTTTAAAAGTTATTTACCCATCCTTAAACAATCCGCCCCACCCTCCCCTTGGTTTACGTAAAAGTTCGTCAGTTAGATTGACCCCCATCATTACTTTATACACATACATCTTAATCTTCCTGACAGAAACAATCTCAAGGAATAATAATTGTCTTTAAAACATTTTTTTAAGAGTAAATATTTGCAAATTATCTTTTTCCATCTCATAATCTGAGTTCGTTTCTCTTTTGTCCTTTTGACATCCCAATTTTTTTGTAATAATCTTTTTTGTAATAATCTTTTTTGTTTGTTTATTTTCTTGTGGTTTTTAAAATTTTTTTTCTCGATTTTGATGGTTATTATATCGTTAGAACTGACGAGGGTCAACCCAGACCGAAATATATTTTCAATAAATGTTTAACTAACATCTACTTTTTTACTCTACATCACCATCACCAAAATTTAAAATGAATTTTACTTAGTGGGTTAAGATGGATCTGTAGATTGGATTAGATCTGAAAACCCCTTAGTGTTATGAATACATTTGTTTAATTTTTCCTTGAAGTTTACAGTCGTGGATTAATTTTTATTTTACACAATTATTGATAATTTTGATTTTTAACAATTATTGATAATTTTGATTTAACACAATTATTGATAATTTTGATTTTACACAATTATTGATAATTTTGATTTTACACAATTATTGATAATTTTGATTTTACAGAATTATTCATAATTTCGATTTTACACAATTATTCATAATTTTTAAATTACACAATTGTTAATAATTTTGATTTTACACAATTATTCATAATTTTGATTTTACACAATTATTCATAATTTTGATTTTACGCAATATTCATAATTTTGATATTACACAATTGTTCATAATTTTGATTTTACACAATTATTCATAATTTTGATTTTACACAATTATTCATAATTTTGATTTTACACAATTATTCATAATTTTGATTTTACACAATTATTCATAATTTGGATATTACACAATTATTCATAATTTTGATTTTCGCAATTATTCATAATTTTGATATTACACAATTATTCATAATTTTGATTTTACTTAATTATTCATTTTGCTGCCAAGCGTCAAAATACAATTGCTTCAGAAAAATGAGAAATTATGAATTTAAAACTTTTGATAAATTTAGGAAGACGAGGAAAAAGAAGAAATAGAACCATTACTGGAACAGGAGGAGGAAGAGGAGAAGGGAAGAGAGGAGAAGGAAGGAGGGGAAGGAGACTCAAAACCTCAGCTTGTCAGATATACAGATATTAGGTAACCTAAACCAGATTTCAGTGTTTTGAAATTAGATTAGCTGACAATATGAAATTAGTTGGAAAATAGTCTTAGTTTCATATTTAAGTGTTATTTTGATCTCAGTTTTAGATTTATTGTCATCTTGTTCTATTTCGATCTTCGAGTCAAGTTTTTCTTGATTCAATTTTATTTATATTTTATATCTTTAAAAACTGTCTATTTTGATCTTAAACCCGTTTTTTTCCTTGATTTTAGTTAAAGTTTATTTTTCATCTTGGTTACTGTTTTATTTTGGTCTGAGTTTCAATTTTATTTTCAGTTTTTCCTTGATTCTAGTTTTAGTTTGATTTTGATCTTGGATTCAGTTTGATTTTGAACTTGGATTCAGTTTGATTTTATCTTAGATTCAGTTTTATTTAGTTCTTAGATTTAGTTTTTTCTTGATTCTTGTTTTAGTTTATTTTGATCTTGCATTCAGTTTTATTTATTTATTACATTTAGTTTTTTCTTGATTCTTGTTTTAGTTTGATTTTGATCTTGGATTCAGTTTGATTTTCATCTTAGATTCTGTCAGGAAAAGGGAAAAGGGAAAAGAAAAAAGGGGGAAGAGGGAAGGGAAAAGGGGAAGAGGGAAGGAAAAGGGGAAGAAAAAGGAAAAGGGGAAGAGGAAAGGAAAATGGGAAGAGGGAAGGGAAAAGGGAAGAGGGTAGGAAAAGGGGGAAAGAAGGAAGGGAAAAGGGAAGAGGGTAGGAAAAGGGGGAAAATGGGGAAGAGGGAAGGTTTAAGGAGGGAAGGGAAGGAAAAAGGGGGGAAGAGAAATTTTACAAATAAATTCTAAGTGGGAGCTTGAAGTTGACCTTTTTAGGGCACTAAAACGCTATATTATACTATATTATACTACTAAAATTCAAAAAAATTCTCTGCAAGGGGGCTCAGCATAATGATGTTCAGGGTCCGATACAACCAGAGCAACTACAGGGAGGTGTACAAGGATAAGGAGGATGAGCTGAATAAGCTGGAAGAGAGTGAAGAGCAACCAAGCCTCTGTGATCTTATTCAGAGGTTAGAACAACCTCCAGCTCTATCTGAGAGAAACCAGACTGTTTAAGAATAAAAGCAGACGTTATAGAGACCGACAAAGATAAGATGGCAATGCCCTATTTTCAACGAAGCCCTCGAAACCTTAAATTGATCAAAAACATTGAAGATATCGTCGATTTTCTGAGTCCATTGCTTCTTAAAGTAAGAAATGCGTCCCTTTCACAGAGAAATTGTCAATGAAAATAAGCAGTTTTAAGAAACTAAAAAATGGATATCTACGTGATCGGACTCAGTTAAAAGGTTACAAATCAGGCATTGCCATCTTTGCATGGAGGGGCACTACAAATTACTGTCCCTGTAACAATTGCCTAAGATTATTTACTTCTTATATCTTTGAAACCTGATGGTTTAAAACTTTGATCGAGCAGATTTGACGGTTTCAAATACAAGAGGCAAAACAACCAGGTTGCAACGATATACGGATTATAAAGTTTAAGTTTGAGTCAATCAAGACTTAAGGTTTTTTAACGTAAGATAAATCTTGAAAATAGTTTGGAACTTTAAGTTTTATTTTGATTTTAGCTTCAGTTTTATTTTGCCCTTAGTTTCAGTTTTATTTTAAGTTTTATTTTGATTTNTTCAGTTTTTTCTTGATCTTATCTAAGTTAGATTTATCTTTTTTAATCTAAATTTAATTTTGATCATAGAATCTAACTGTTAATTTCCATGATCTGGAACAATATCATAAATCATGATCTCAAAACCAAATAATTTCAAATGATCATTTTTTTATTTTAGGAATAAATTTCCCAACCTTATAAAAAGTGGTGCTGCTAAATCCTTGTTTAAACCGGATGAGAAGGAAGGTGGGGATGAGAAGGATGAGGAGGAAGATGAAGGATTGGTAATGAAGAGTATGGATGAAGATGATGTTGACGGAGGAGCATCTTCTAAACAACATTCTCCAGATAAAGAGGTTTGTCAATGCTTTACTCCCCGGCCCAGTCACAAAAATCAGCATTTTCCTAGTCACCGATTTCTGCACTCATCCCGAGTTCTAATAAAAGTATGAAGTACACACACTTTTAAAATGCTACCTTATTCAGTCCGAACTGCAGTATTAAAAACCATAAGATGGTTGCATTAGTACTACATTCGGGTTTCTAAGATGGACCAAGGGGGGAGAAAACGGCTTATTTATTCTCAACCCTATTTTCATTGTATTTCAACCAACAGGTCGTTGTACTCTGTCTGTAGGTTGATTGTTAATAATAATAATAATAATAATAATAATTCTCATCTTTTTCTCAAACTCGTTTCACAGTTTTAATTAAAATGCAATTTTCGTAAAAGAAGTAAGTTGAATTAAAGTATTTTGTATTGTAGGAAGGGTTTAGCAGAACCAGTTTATCTAAGGTTCCCGTCACACAAAATGATCCTTTAGGAGCTCTTACACAACCCACAGAAGACGAATTTAGAACTCCAACCAGAGATAAGGTAGAGCACAGTCCTTTTTATTAGTTAATTATTTTAAAACAATCCCTTTAACTTATTGTAATGTGTGCAGGGGAGTGAGCTGACCCATAGATCGATGTCAATGTCTGATGTACTGGGTGAACCCTTCAGAACTCCCACTAATCAGAATATTCAAAATAACAGGTGGGTAATTATTTCCATTACATTTATTTTAAAAGTTTGTAATAGAATATCTCCCTTATTTTGGGACTTTATTTGTTCTGATAGAAAACGTGTTGCCCATTTGTATTAATGGATGGCACTCATGGCACTTGGCTTTGAAACAGGAATGTTAGCCCTTTTAAGTTTTCTGCACGTAATTTATAAAGAAGCATGATGCCCATTCAAACAATTATTTTAATTACAAACATATATTCCCTAGCCTTTCTTAACTTTTAAAGGAGACTAATGTATTATTGTACATCGTACGCCTATTCTTCTTCAAGTTCTACATAAACATTAAGCTTATTATTTTTTATATTTTAGTCATATGCAGAGATCATGTACAATGCCTTTACGTGGAGAACTAGGGGCTTCTACAGGAGAGCTTAGGTATGAATATTGAATATCATATTTTCATCTTTAATTATTTTATTGTCATTATTGGTTAAAAACATTAAATCCACTTCAAGAAAAATAGCTCTAAAATTAGGGGTTTTCTTTCCATTCTGTATTTTTGTGCAAAGGGGATGGTGGAGTTGGCACATTTGATGTAGGGGGGGGGGGGCCCTGCCTTCATTTTTGGTTCAAATCTTCCAATTTTTTGGGTGCACGCCTAATT